TTTCAGGCTTGTTGTACACGACTCTGCATGAACAGATTTACTGTCCATAATTACCAGCTTGGCATTTTAGCTCCAACAGTGAAATGCTGCCTCGTACACACAATCACTTTTGTTGTATGAGTGCTATAGGTGACGCCTGCATTTGTTCATTTGCAATTTCTCATCTCTTGCTCTGTCTCTTACGCAAACACTCACAAACACAGGTAATATGTAGTGCACGGTGTGCAACATGCACTCTCCCTAGTTTCATTTAGCCCTTTATCTGGCAAGAAATTGACTGCATTCAGGAGTGGAATGGATGTAATAATTGCATGCACTCTATAGCATGCTCCATAAATCTTTTTTAGAAAAAAAAAAATAAAAGAAGGTTTCAAGGTATTCCTCATGGCTTTTGCCAAAGATTCAAGGTTTATTCTGCCTGTAGTGTTTGTTTATGGTAGCAAAGTGTGGCTCTGTCATTTTCATCTGAGTTGTTCGAAAGGAAATTCAGGAAAACCTCCCATATAGAATCTGTCTTTTTATTCTTGTCATACAATAGCAGGTTGAATAAAGTTTCCATTCACAGGCTGCAGATGGTTGCGAAGTCTGTTGTCATCCATATAAGCCCTGCAGAGATTTACACAACAATGCAATATCTTTGACGCATGAGTAAAGGCACTCTGATACTGTTTAAACCGTTCTGTAAAATGACTGTTTCTTCTAAAAACATAAATATTCATTGTCACCGTCGGTCTCAGTTTAAAGTAGCTGTGATATATTCTGCGGTGTGAATTGGCTCAGTGGACTTAAGGTCAAATATCACGTGCACTGGCTGTTATAACACTGGCCTGGCTGTGCTGTGTAGTATCTGCCCTGTGAAACAAAAGCTTGGGGGAGGAGTATGTGTGTCAGGGCAGGGCTGGCAGTATGTGCGTGTGTGTGTGTATGTGTGTGCGCCCCCCACACCGACTGCTGCAGTGTATCAGCCCTCCTCTGACCATGTCAGCAGGCCCGTGTGACTGAGCTGCACCGGATTACGTACACGGGGGGCCAATGGGTCAGTGGATAAGAAGTCTTCTCTGTTACCACAAATCCTCAGATTAAACGCAGCATTGAGAGCTTGTGCTGCCCCCGAGGGCAAATGGGTCTGAAAACACTACTCTCAGAGAGCTTTGCCATAACCCTCCTGTCAGTGTGAGGCAACATATGAGCGAAGTGACTCTTCTTTAAGTCCCCGCTGCATGATCCTGGCCTTTTAAATACATCCGGGTCATGCAGGGGTTACGTGGAGTGTTACTGACATGATATCTTAATTGGAAAGTTAATCCTGTGCTGGGACAGCTGACTCCAAGTTAAAACAGTCTGTTGTGCAGGGGGAGGTCAACATAACTCTGAAGTGGAGGCAACATGTAAATGTAAACTGTGATGTTTACATCCTCCAACCTAGCTAAGTAGAAATGCCTAGCCACTCCAGGCGACTTACAACATTTGCATTGTCTTCTGTCTTGCAGCGCTGCTTGCATTTCTTGATTCTGCTGAAGTGCTTTAAACACAGAAACAGCAGAGGACAGAGAGTCTGTTAATGCTCGTGATATTATGTGTCTGATGTGTCTGCATATTTGTATGTTATCAGGCATCTCGGTGTGATGAAGGAAGAAGACATGGAGGTGCAGTAGATCTGTATGGGACAGCAGCAGGATGGCTGTTGGTGACAGGCTCTTGTAGTGTCTCGTCTGCTCCAGTGATCCCAGGGAATCTGGGTCATTTCCATCCTGTTGACATGTAACCATTGCCCACTACTTCCCTCCCTTTGCTCAGGGTTGGTTATGACTCGGCTACATGCTAATGATGACACAATGTAAATGTAGACATCACTGATAAAGTCAAAGACAAGTGCAGTAGGATGCACCTGTATACAGTACCAACGCTTTACTTACTTTCTAGTCCTCCTTTATAGGACCTCAATATCAATATTCCTTATAATGGGGTTACAGTAAATTTGTTAAAATATTAGACTGACATACTTGTTTGATAGATTTTTAAAAGTAGAGCAATAGTTTGAGGGCTTAAAGTTCATTTTCTTCATCTTGGAAACATCAGTCGACCAAAGTCCTTCACGGTGTCCATACAGCGGAGGTCACAGAGCTTTTAATTATATCCCACAATCTTCAACTGCAAATTTAGTTTTTCAGAATTTGAGATGTACATTTGAAAGACTCATTTAAGAATTTCTTTTTCAAATAGTGAAACTATGGTCCTGTGTTGTTTTTGCAGGATATTGACCAAATGCCGGTAAAATCATAACAATCAGAATAACCTTGGTGGAAATTCAAAAAAAGAAATAGAAATATTTTCAAAGAACCAAAATTCTTGTCATTTTTTTTTTGGGTCACAGTCTGGATAATTTTAGTTCCTTACCCATTCTTAAACTATGCTTTTTTATTTTATTTTGTCCACAGACAGTCTTTGAGGTCCAGATTCACCAAAATAAAAGAGGAAATCTGCAGTTAAGATAACAAAAAAAAAAAAAAAAAGAGTAAAGAATTTCTAATATAGAGATATAGAACTTAGATTGGCATCAAAAACAGTCCAGTCTCACAGAGGAGGATCCATGAAACAAAGACAAACGGGAGAAAAACTGATGTTTGAATGAGATCCACTGTGCTGCCATGCTGAATGTGTGGAGATCTTGGTGTCAGGAGGCCCACTATCCCCTGACAGTGACACGGGCCTGCCGTGGGTTACAGTGGAGCTTATATCATTCATAAGGATGACCTTTAGCATTTTATTTTGAAGGTCACGAGAAAGAGGCATTGAATAGATAGAAAAACGAGGAAGGCTACCATTCATCGAGGGCAATAAAATTAAAAAGGGGACTATTTTACCTGAAATTAATACTCAAAGTAGAGCCACCTGTTGAAAGCGGAGTGATACAGAAACACGGCGTCACCCTGATAGAAAAATCGTCTCAAGACCTTTTCGTTTTCTTTAAATGTTTAATGCTGCCTTTAGCCCAGACGTGTTGCTTACAGAGTCAAGTCTACAATTGTTATTTCCAGCTTTCCGTTTAAAGGATCCAAAACTCGCTCATGTTTTATTGACGCGGAGCTTCCTCGAGAAAGTCTTGCTGTCCTTGTAAATTTAGGTTGGGACGTGCAGGCTGCAGACATGAAATATTTACAGGAAGCTGAATATTTCAAAGCAGCACCTTGTCTGTCGCATTTCAGTTTCACTGCTGCACCCCGAGATGTTATCCTTTATTTATCAATATTTTGCGTTTTTGTGTGATAATACGTGTGAATGAACGGCCACTGAATCGTCTTATATTATATATCTGCTCGTTGTTTGTACTCTATATTGGCTGTGGTGTGTCAATTTGAGTTAGCGTCCGCGGCCTATTTGTTTGTAAAATCAGGCCTACTTCTGCCAGAGAAATCCATCCGCGTCAGGAGATGATATGCAAATTCTTAATTATTAAGATTTAGATTTTAATTTGTAATGCTGCTGCAGTTTCCATTAAACCAGCATGAGAATGAACAGCTTCCTGTGCAGAAGGCATTTCATAACCCCGCATCCAGACTCTATAATTCATGCAAAAAGAGCCCGAGGGGGATTCAGCTCGAGTGTGCAAGCGCGTGCGTGGGGAAGAGAGAGAGATGGAGAGAGGTAGAGAGTGAGTGTGTGTGTGTGAGAGAGAGAGTGTGTGTGTGTATATGGGGGGTGGGGGGGATCTGTGAAAATAATATCAGGCTTTTCCGTCAGAATGAACTTTACTACTGTATCCAGCCATGAAATAATCTGACCCGACACTTCAAACCATCTGCGCTATCTATCCGCCCTCTTATTTACTAAATCAGCCTGTGCACAAAACGGAGTGTGTCTGATACTAGAGCCCAGCAGCAGCCAGTCAGGGCCATCTAATTCCTATATATATATATATACATATATATATAAATATATGAATGTACACATTTATACAGCCTATATTTGTATGTATCAGAGGTGTCTCCCCTGCTGTTTTACAGATTAGGAGCAGACTCGCTGCACTAACACAACAATCTACTGTAAATAAAAGCACGTATAAGTTACACTGCGCGAGCTCCAGTCTGCAAGGATCACACATGCGCGCGCCTAACAGCAATTAATTAGCCTGTGTTTTTCAAAAAGAGCATTTATTCATAGCCCACATAAAAGAGCATGCATCATCATAACTTAGACTCTGATATAATTTATTATGCTTAATAAATTATCACTTTTGTGAGGTTGAAAAATGCGGGAAGCCTCGACTAACTCTGTTCAAGGTTGTGAAACAGAGTTGGCTGCAAATTCATAGTTCCGGTGAGATAAAGGCCACATTGACCCTTTTGAGAGATTTTCTATCAACATCTATAAGCTGATAGAAATAGGCTGATAAGAAAGACATAAATATTAGAATACGGGTTACTTTATCTGCACAAAATGATTTTAAATGATCGACCCGTAAATATGTTTTGCACGTGGGTTTTTGATATATGAATATTGCGTAATGTAGGATGATTAAAGCTATAATTTACACAATAAAAACGATCAATTTCATGGCGTGTGTATGCCAGCTCTGCAACTCTGATCTCGTCTAAAATGTAGAAATGATCTGCTGATATTTGGCCTGTGGTAGGGATCGTCAGGGTGTCATTCTGCCTCGTAAGAGCACGTTTGAGGAGCTCCAAAGCCAGACTGAGCCGTGTGTGTTTTCATATAGACTGAAGGGTCTTTCTTTACAAAGGAACAGGGTGTTTTTTAAAGCACGGCGGGGCAGCTAAACGTTTGAAGACGCGACGCAAAAAGGTCAAAATGTTTATATTATCTCTGAAAAGGGAGGTGCTGAGATCTCCTTTCCGCCTGATTGGCCGGACTTGACAGTGATTGACGTGCATCCATGGCAACCGAGCAGCCAATCTGCCAAGTCCAATAGGAAATCATCGGAGGGGGCTTGACTGTCTTTTTCTCCCCCCTTTAAAAAAATACATCTCGGCTCCGGCTTTAATTCTTCCTTACTTTCAATCCTAGCCTACCTTCAAAATTACACCGTGGCTCCGGCTGTGCTTTCCTCGCACCTTCAGCCCCTTTGCCAGCCAAGTTAACCCAGCCTGAGGATGCGGTAGCCGGCCCCCGCGCTCCATCGGTCCTCCTCCGCGGCGATTGGCGTTTGGCGTTTCCCCGACGCTTCTCAGACGGTCGGTTCGCTAAACTTTGGGATTGTCTTGTTTTTTGGGGGGGTCTCGGAGAGCAGCGGCGCACTGAGAGAAGCGACGGAGGAGTCGACGCGGGGGAGAGAGAGAGCAGGAGAGGAGAAAGGAGGGGGAGAGGGAACCACAGGAGTAGCCTCCATGTTTCAGCTGCCCATCTTGAATTTCAGCCCCCAGCAGGTCGCCGGGGTCTGCGAGACTCTGGAGGAGAGCGGGGACGTGGAACGCCTGGGCCGCTTCCTGTGGTCGCTGCCCGTCGCGCCGGCGGCCTGCGAGGTCCTCAACAAGAACGAATCGGTGCTGAGGGCCCGGGCCGTCGTCGCTTTCCACACCGGCAATTTCCGCGAACTTTACCACATTCTGGAGAACCACAAGTTCACCAAAGAGTCGCACACGAAGCTGCAGGCGCTGTGGCTGGAGGCGCACTACCAGGAGGCGGAGAAGCTGCGGGGACGCCCGCTGGGGCCGGTGGACAAATACCGGGTGCGAAAGAAGTTCCCCCTTCCCAGAACCATATGGGACGGAGAGCAGAAAACCCACTGCTTCAAGGAGAGAACCCGGCACTTGTTAAGAGAATGGTACTTGCAGGATCCCTACCCGAACCCCAGTAAAAAGAGGGAGCTTGCACAGGCGACAGGACTCACACCCACACAAGTAGGAAACTGGTTCAAAAACCGCAGACAAAGAGACAGAGCGGCGGCCGCCAAGAACAGGTGAGATACGCGCATCTGCACGCTGTCTGCCTGCACAAAACCACTTATTTACACGTAGTACAAAGAAAAAAGGTTCCCTGTTATGTCATTCAGAATACATTTAATTTAAAGCAACAAAAACAAATAGGACTGCCTTCATTTTTGTGGGTTCAAAATCACATTATTATTACTTGTGTGTTCTGCAGTAATAATTGTTTATAATATCTGTCAAAGCAGATTTTTAAAGGTGGTTACCATGTAGAAAATAGTAGTTTTGTTGCAGTTAATGTAATATTTCCTAATATTCTTCCTGTATTTTTTGTTTATTGTAAAAACAGACCTTTAAATTAAAATAACTCCTCAGCTGTGAATAAAATAAGCATAAATCTGCTGATCAATGAACACAAGGGTAAAGCCTTATTAGATTTTACTTTAACGCCATTTAATGTTTAGTGTCAGTCATCTATTTCATTGAAGTAAAAGGTTATCTTTAAATGTGTTTTTACCAGATATTGGATGAGGTGATTTACAATTATAAGTGAAGCCAATTTGTTGGAAGGTCGAGGTCACACTGCAGTTTGTCATGTTCAATACATTTAGATCAGCTCTTATGCTTGTAGTGAGGTGTGAATGTAACACACTTTTTTGCATTTGTATTATCTCAAAACATTAAATTTTGCTGCTTGAGCAAAAATAATTTTACAAAATAAAACAGAATCTACACTTGGTGTGCTAATTGTTTGTGAATTGGTTTATACTTTTTCACAAAGTGGTTATGCAGAATTATTTCATTGAGATTTTTAGGGCTTAAATTTGACAAAAAAATTGAAGTAAACACAGCTGAAAGTAAAAAAGATTATATGCTAAATTGCATCATTGGAAGATGTTGTTTTGCTAGCAGCATAATAGCTTTGAGTTAATAAGAAATAATCATGTAAAGGCAGATTTTTGTGGGCTGATAGCTAAACCAACCAGAATGAAAAATATGAAGATGTTAGAAGCTGAACGGTGACTCCTCTCCTCTGACATTGTCTTCTTGTCCTGTACCCTCCCAGGCTCCAGCAGCAGGTCCTGTCCGGTGGCTCGGTTCGTTCTCTGGCAGACGAGGACGGCACCGTGGACCGTCTGGGCAACTCGTCCAGTCCGGAGGCCAGTCTTTCCAGCAAAGCAGCCGCCTCCGCCATCTCCATCACCTCCAGCGACAGTGAATGTGACATCTGACGGCCATAAGACGAAGGGTGTCGATGAATTTACAGGGTGGATGCGATGCTATACTGAGAGACAATCTTAATAAAAACAAGTCATAGTGCCTGCGTTGAGTAACAAAACAACAACAACAACAACACATAAACTGATATTTGACGGGTGCCAAATCTGTGATCTTCGGACTTTTAGGCCTATATTTTTGTTTACGTTTTACCCACGTGTGGATAACAGAAGTTAACATGGACGACAAATATTTGACGGACTAATAAACCAACGAGCTGAGATGAAAAGTAAAGAAAAGGATTTTTTTAATGTGGGAGGGAGGGTGGAGGCATCCGAGCGCCTAACCTGCTGTTCTCTGTGGGTATTTCATGTTGAAAAAAAAAAAGAACTGTGATATTTTTACTTTACTTTCAAAGTTTTATAAATAATGTTTATTTGCCTATTTAAAAGAAAAAAAACGATCTGCTCTTGTCTCTTCGAATTTCATATTCATTTGCTTGGTGTTTTTAATACTTACCTTGTACACAGGTGAACCTGTTGAGCATGCGCGCTTTAGTGAAAATGTGTTTCAGTAAAAGGAAAAAAAAAGAGATAACTTAATAAAATAATTGTTGATCAAATGCAACAGTTTATTTTTATTTTTGACAAAGTGTTGGATTCGGTTTTAAAATCATGATTTTCTTACATAAATACCCCCCACTCTCCACTCTCCCGTGTCTTCGTGGGGAGAGGGAGATTTTCGTGATTATAGCGCCTTTGCTGCTGTATTGCCTGACACGTTTTGGAGCGAGCCCTAATTGGCCAACATGCTCTGCGTCGTGTAATGCAGGGTGACAGCGCGAGGTCAGCAAGAGGCCGGCTCACTAACCCGGATGATCTGCGAGAGAGATCATAGAGATCAAAACACAGCAGACTGACGAAATAGGCTTTATTCTGCCCGTGCAGGAGGACAGGCTGCAGAGTCCAGACTCAAATCTTGCAAGGGACATTTTCTCTCAAGACATCTGTAGTGTTTTATTTAGTAGTGTATATAAGATAATGCTGCAAAGGGGAATAGAGCCGCGGTGTACAGATTCTGCATGAGCAATGGAGTATTTTGCTGAAACTGTCGCATTAAAAGGCTATCCTCATAATCGTACAAGCCCAAAAAATGTCAGGAAATGTAGCTGCTTTTATTAGCTTCGGATTTGCATCTAATCCTCAATTAGGCCCAATGAAATTTGCACATTTGAAAAAAAAAACACTACATATATTTTTTTTCAACTATGAATCGCCGATAATGTATCGAAATAATCGAAATAATCTAAACCGTGACACAACTCTGGATATGCATTTTGTGGTCATCGCCTGTCATTTATATCCTAACATACAATTTCCCCCAAGTTTTACCTTCAGTATTTTGTTTATGTGAAAATACATGGCTTTATGTTAAATTCTGAAGATCCAACACTTTGATGTTAAAAGATGCCCCGAGGAAAAACCTTTTAGTGTTAAACAGGATAAGGGAGGAAAAAAAAGACAAACCATCTAAACCAGAAGTTAAAGTCGAGTTTTTCCACCTGATGGGACAGACACCTGGTTTTCTCCCAATTTGTCTGTAATGAGTCTACAGTAACTTCAGCATCACACAAAAGCCTTTGAGCTGCTAAAGAGAGATAGAGAGAGAGGAAACAAGTGAAGGGGAAGAAGAAAAGGGGTTGGGGAGTTCTTTCTATATTTTCTTTTTTTGCTGCTCTTTCAAAACCACGGGGACAAAATGGCTGAATATTTCCGTTTCTATTGAAAATAGGGACGACCGGAGGGGACTGGATGAAAAAGTCTTTCTCGCAGTCAATAAGGTTGTCAAACTGGTCAGCGGTAATCAGTGCTAATGATGGGTCTGGGGTCCCCGCGCGGACAAAAGGGGCCCTGCCGCTGTTTTGTGATGGGGAGCGAGCGCGGGGTCCTCTCCAAAGAAAAGAGTCCTGTGAGGGGAGTCTGGGCCACGGAAACCACAACTTCTAGTGTGTGTGTGTGTGTGTGTGTGTGTGTGTGTGTGTGTGTGTGTGTGTGTGTGTGTGTGTGTGTACGCGCTCCTGTGTGAGCTCATGGCTTGGCCTATTAAACGCCTTTAATTACCAGTTGATTGTTTTCTGACGGGTAGTAGCCTTCTCATAGATCTAGCACATACGCTTTTGTAATAATTACGATTAAAGGGTTGTAAATGTAATAAAACGCCAACATCGTAACAGCTGGCATTATGTAGTTCCGAATATTTCTCTCTCTGTTGCTCTGCCTTTATTGGACTGAACTATCTCTGGGCATTACGAAGTATTTTGACAAGTTAAAGGTGACACATCTTTGCGGTTAACTAATGTTGGATGAAGCACTTTTCTGCTCTGTTTGTGATATACTGAAAGAGAGGCTGCAGCCTTGACTCTTTATTGTTATTGAATGTGTCAGTGTGGTTTAGTGTGCAGACACTCTGTAACAAAGTACAGTATAGTCTTTCAGCAGAAATGACTACACACAGACAGACCTGTCCTGGTATCTATCTGCAAAGAGATCGTATTGGTTTAATCCATTTTAGATGACAAACAGATGAAAAAAAAAAAAGAAAAACAGACTTTGCGAATGCATAATATCTTTGTAATAATAATAATAATAATAATAATAATAATAACAATAATAATAATAATTGTGTGTTTTTCTTTTTTCCAAAAGAAATGTAAGGACGCCAAATGTGACAATATATTCTATAAAACTAAAAAAAAATGACAGGCAATGACCGCAACATGCATATCCAGAGTTGTGTCATGGTTTAGATCACGATATAGATGATTTCGATACACTATAGGCGATCGGATAATATTGCTCCATTTGTTATTTTGTGATTTTTATTGTATTCTTAATGTGTCAGATATTATGTATTCGCTTTGTTTGGAGGATATGACCTCTAGTTTTGAATGATAAATCGCACCATACAGCCCCCATGTAATCATATTTAAGTACCGTAAAGCTCGTACAGGAGATGGTCTGTCTGTTTAAGTTCCAACAGGAGTTGTGTTTTCAAGGCGGGAGATTTCCAAAGCAGAAATAAGTAATTTAAAACTGTAGCCTTGCAATGCTATATGGTGGTATACTGAATAACCTGGTATCTACAGTCTACAAACAGAGAGAAGGTCACAGATACGAGATACTGTAAAAACGTCCTTGCTTAGATGCCTCCTCTCTTAAGTTCTCGTGTCAAACTGTAAGGATGGAGGTGAGGACTCTTTGCACTGCTGCACTTACTGTCAAAGTGAATCAGTTCTTCTTTTGTCACATTATCAGAGGCATACAACTAAGTCTTGAATGTAAGTCTTTACCGTATTCAGATTTTCCCCTCAGTTTTTTTTATTTGAAAAATGATGGAGTCAAGCAGCTTTGAAACGTCCACCCTGCAAGTTTTCTCTTTGTCCTGCAAACAAACTAGACTGCGCGCTTTCTCCCCTTTCGCTGCACCTTTCCTCCTTCCTGATCCAGCTTTATTCATCAGGCATCTCAAATAGGCTTTTGTATTTGTAATCATGACCAGTTGATTAAATGTGATCTTGTGAAACGCAACAGTTGTCGAAGGACACATCCTTGAGAAGGAAGTAATAAGAGTCTCTCAGCTGTGTAGCCTGCTACTTTTGACAGCTGCTTTCTCTGCCAAGAGGTCTAAAATCAAATCTGCTATATGTCTATATTGGCTACTGATTTTTTTTTTTTTTAAAAGAGTGTTATAAGCTGAACAACTTGCATGGAATTTAAGCTTTTCATTAATGAACCACATCGTGCGTAAAAGCCTTAATTAAGATGCGCAACATCCTTTGAATCCAGTACAAATATTAAAACCTGTTTATTTTAATAACTGATCGTACACACTTTAACGCACAACCAAAGTGAAAAGCGACGGGTCTACTTCAAGTTGGACACGTGACTGTCATTAACGTCCAAGAGCAATGTTTAGAACCACAACAGCCAGGAATCACGCAAAGGTGTCTGTGTGACTGTTCATAGCTTAAAAACAGCGACAGGGATAAGTTTTCATGTCTTTAAGAGACGATCTGGACCTGCTGCATCTTAATGACCCAGAACCGGATTAAGAACTGAGGTGAAGTAGAAGAAGATATACTTAAGATAGGTTGCGGGAAGTTTTCTCCTTTATGCCCATGATATATAGCCCAAACAGGGACTGGCAGGATAGAAATAAAATCCATAAATGTTCCAGTATTTTAGATATTAACAATAATAATAATAATAATAATGATAATGATAATGATAATAATAATGATAATGATAATAATAATGATAATAATAATAAAAGCTAACACTGTGACTCTGTCTCACCACGTGTCCTGAAGTGTCTGAGGTCACTTGGGGAGAGGGGGTCTTCAGTCTTGTTCTTCAATCCCCCCTCCACCCCACCCCAAACCAATCTCTCTGTCCTCTCTGCACTCTAACGACTTTTCATTCAGCCTCCCTGCTTGTTGTTTACGAGGTCAAACTGGAACTTACTGTGTGGTCCTTTGAGTTCTTGGTCTGGAGAGCAAAAGAAATAAACAGCAGTTATTTTTTTCTGTCAGGTCATTGTGCAAAGACCATGAAATTATCTTAAAATATTAATTTAGAGAAATGAACAATAAAAAAAAAAAACATCTTCCCCTTCAGTTATACCCCAGCCCTATAGATGAAGCTTTTAAGTGGCATTTTTATGTGCTTTGTTTGTCTACTTGTTGTCGGAACTTGACCAATGGTTTTCTGACCCTTGGAGAGGTTTTTTCTTTCTTTTTGATCGTTTCATCTCAGCTTTGGCTTTTACCAACTACTCGCTGCCTGCTTCACGATCTGAAGCTGCTCTGCATCACCGCCGCTGAAAAAGCAAACTCTATGCTGCTGACGCTCCCTGGTGGCCAAGATATCACACATGGACCTCAATGACTTGTCCTAGAAACTTTACCCAGCATGGTTGCAGTGTTTGAAAAAATTACAGCAAGACCAAACTAAGATTATTTAATACATGAAAATTAAAAATCTTTTACACTACAATAACTAGAGCCTCTTTATGTATTACAAATACTAAATCAAACAGAAAACATACCATATACAACACACTTGCTTACCTTTAGGACTACATATATATATATATTCTGCATTTTTGGCTCATTGTGTCCTTTTGTTTATTTATCCCTTGACTTTTTGCTCATATGTAATCTAATTATTTTTATTTAACTGCAAGTCAATTAAGATTACAAAATTTCCTAATACCTTCAACACAGAAGACAGTTCAACGTATTTAAAAGAAACAAAAAACTTGTGTATAGACATTAAAATAAGGATCCAGAACCTAAATCTTGACTCATAAAATTCTGAGATTATCCGATGATCCTCTGTGTCGACAGTGAAACGCTGCAAAAAACTTTCAGCACCACGGACAGAGACACAGTCCTTCAAGCATTAACTTTTAAAATCATGATCACTGATAAGTCTCATTATTAATACCATTAAAAACCAAACATTATTTGTTCCAAGATGAGTGGAGTGGAAACAAGGTTATCCAGACTGAGAAGTTAAATGTGGTTTCAGGGGTATTTGGTGTGCACAACAGACAATGATCATGGC